AAAAGAAAAAAAAAAAAAAAAAGGGTGAATTATATGGTATGTGAATTATATTTCAATAAAGCTTTTTTAAAAAATCCAAAAAAAAAAAAGTAGGGACCAAGCGGAACCCCTGTCGTGAAGGTGGCAGCAGAGACAGCACCTCTGTACAGTTTCTGGAGTTGGCAATGAGTACAGTCCTAGAAATAGCACAAGCATCGAGCAGGTGTCATTTGGAAATAAAAGGGGCAGTACCTGTGCCTTTAAGCAGAGTAGCATTGTCCTTATTAGATCAATTCCGTGGTGTGATGTTAGGTAGTTTATCTTCAGTTGGTTCTCAAGCCCTTCCTGAGATTCTGTAAGCTATCTGACATTCTTTTAAAAATTATTTTTCTTGTTTAAATGACCCATAATGGCTTTCTGTTGCTTATAACTAAGACTCTTGACTGATGTGGAGAGTGATTTGGCAATGTCTGTTAAAACTGAGGCTATGTATACCCTACAACTCAGCAACTCCACTGCTGCATATATACTTTAGAGCAACACTGTCCAGTAGAAATTTCTACGATGATGACTGTGCCCTCCAATATGCTAGCCACTGGCCACGTGTGGCTACTCAGCACTTGAAATGTGGCTAGTGTGACTGTGGAATTAAAATTAAATTGTATGTGATTAATTCTTATTAATTTAATTAATTTAAATTTAAGTATCCATATGACTACACAGTGGCTAGTGGCTCTTTATTGAACAGCAAAACTCTAGCATAATGCTCGCCTTTGTGCACAAAGATACACATTACAGCAGTATTTGCATTAATAGAAATTCGGAAACAAGTTGTAGTCATGCAAACAATACCATAAAGCAGTCAGAATGAAGGAATTGAGTTTATACTATCAACATCGATAAATCTATAGAACACAATTCGGAGGGAAAAAGCAAGCTGTATTATGTTAGATACAGTGTGATACCACTCTATGTACAGTTAAAGAAACACAGAAATATTCTTTATATTCTTTACTGATTTAAAAATGTAGTAAAATTTAAAAAAACACAGAAGGGAAGACTTCACACTAAATTCAGGAGTGTGTTCCCCCTGGTAAGAGAGGAGAGAGACTTGGAGGTCTTCCACTATACACATTCTAAGAGCTGTTAGGGCTTCCCTGGTGGCACAGTGGTTGACAGTCCGCCTGCTGATGCAGGGGACACGGGTTCGTGCCCCGGTTCGGGAAGATCCCACATGCCGCGGAGCGGCTGGGCCCGTGAGCCATGGCCGCTGAGCCTGCGCGTCCGGAGCCTGTGCTCCGCAACGGGAGAGGCCACAACGGTGAGAGGCCCGCGTACCGCAAAAAAATAAATAAATAAAAAAAAGTAAGAGCTGTTAAAGCTTGGGTAAGTATCACTAATTTGTTTTATTGTTAGAATTTTTATCCATATCTAGGTATTTCATACATCAACTATGAAATATTAAAATATTTTAAAATTCTATAAAAATATACCTTTTATACATTGAGTAACTGACTCGCCTGCCTCTTCAGCCTCCTTTCATTCCAATGATCCTAAGGGATTCTCTGTCCTCCTCTACTTCCATAATAATGGAGCTGTGGCTAGGGTGAGACTTCACATTTCCCAGTCCCCCTTGCAGCCACTGGGTGTGGGACTAAACTCTTGCCAATGGAAGGTGGGCAGACGTGAGGTGAGCAACTTGCCTCTCACAAATTCCTGGCTCTGGACTTCCTGGTGGCTGGAATGGCAACAACCAATATGGCCTTGGCAGCCACATGTGGGAGAGGGAGAGCTGTCATCAGCCACAGTCTCCAAACAGAGCCGTGCACCCACCTGTGACTGTTACCTGAGAGAGAAATCAACTTCCTTATTTCTTAAGCCTTTTTGTTGTTGAGTTTCATTATGGCAGCTCCTTTAGATCTGTAATCATCTTTTTTTTCACTTTTTATGTTCCAAATTATTTTTCTGGTACCTGCATTGTTCATGGTGTTTATTACTATATTTATTAATTAAGGGATTAGGAGTAAGTATAAAATAATAGTAATTTTCACTCTTATTTAGGAAATAAAGAAAATACCGTAAGTTTTTACAACTGCCAGATAGAGGATAGTGAATTGAAGATTATACAAACAACATTTTCATAGCAGTTATAATTTACTAAGAATTTCATATCTGGCCCATGTGGGCCTGCCTCTAGTTCCAACCTCTCATTCCCAGATAAAGAAACCACGGCCCACATAAAAAGGAATGAAATAATGCCGTTTGCAGCAACATGGATGGACCTAGAGATTATCATACTAAACAAAGTAAGTCAGACAGAGAAAGATAAATATCATGATATCAGTTTTATGTGGAATCTAAAGATGATACAAATGAATTTATTTATAAAACAGAAACAGACTTACAGACATAGAAAACAAACTTATGCTTACCAAAGGGGAAAGGAGGGGGAGGGATAAATTAGGAGTTTGGGCTTAACAGATACACACTACTACATATAAAGTAGATAAACAACAAGGACTTACTGTATAGCACAGGGAACAGTATCTTGTAATAAGATCTTGTCCAGTATCTTGTAATAACGTATAATGGAAGAGAATTTGAAAAAAAAAAAAAAAAATATATAGGCCAGAAGCTCAAAGTGAGCAAAACAGGAGTCTAGAACGTGTCCTGGCTCACTTGTCACCAAAGAGGACTTGAAGATACAGCACTTTTGGGCTAACAGTATTCAAAATACAATTGCTGAGAAATTTTAAGTTCCTTGATACAAAGATATGTCTGATATTTTACTAAAGAGACATCACTGTAGGGAAGAGGTTCCTTGAGCCTGACTCACGGCAGGAATAATGTGTCGTCAGTTTAACATCTACTGGCTTATAGCAGCTTACCTCTACGTTCAGAGAGCAAGATTACAAGTTATGGCTCCTAATATCCACACCCTAAAACTGACAGAGGCAGAAAGGCATCTGAAAACATACAGGTAAATGGCTCAAGGCCATCACAGAACTTCTTGCCACGCGGATCCCTCCCCAGCTACTCTTAGTGTTCGGGAGGGGGCTGATGGGATGCTCACGAAGGCATCACTCGGGCACTGCCCAGCCCTCCCTTCTCTCGTCTTGGGAAGAAAACCAAACATACGTGCAGAAACCCCACGCAGTCCTAACCTTTTAAAACCGTGGCTGACAAGCTGTTGTAGGAGGATACCCCCCAAATATACTTTTAGCCATTTACTACCAAAAAAACCATTAACGTAAGGTCGCTTGGAACTAGGCCTCTTTTGAGACACAGGGCCCAGAAGCTGCGGTGGGTTGTCCCACCGTTACAGCATGCACCGCGGCAGAAGCACGGCCGAGGCGGGGCGGGGGACAGATGGCCCGACCGGCACACCAGGCTCGCGAGGTCCCCCCAGGCTCTGCTGCAGGGTCCAGCCCTGTGCTTGTCCCACAGCACAGAGACAGGACAGGGGAGGGGCGGGGGCGAGCACGGGGCGGGGCGACAAAGGAAGAGGGAATGAGCAGTCTGTTTTAAATAGTGTGGCATTCAAATGAGGAAAAAAGACCCAAAGGAAAGTATTCTGATCTGGGCAATTCAGCATGTGGTGTTTTTCACTCCTAGGTTAGAACAGGACAAAGGAAAGATTCTTCTAGCCACTGTTCTGGAAGAATAATCTAAAATCTATACTCTGTCCATTGTGATAGTTTGAGTCCTGAAAATACCTGTTCACAGGGGCCTGTTAAAAAGTCTGAAGAGTTCGAGCCTCTTTTTGAAATTCTCAGTCTAGTTCAGGCCATGACGGGATATAAAACCTCTGTAAGGAGCCTTCCAGCAGCCGTTCCATCCATAAGGACAACTTGCTCAATTTTCCTTTGATGGGCCTAGATCCAAGGCCAGAAGATTTCCCTCGAGATTCACCCAGATGGAGGGAAGAGTCAAGGTCACTGCACGACCCCATGGCTTCCTCCTCTTCGACTGTTTTTTGGGGCTTGAAGAGGCAGAAGTATTTCTTGTGGCCATTCAGAGCCAGTACGTAGCCCGTGTAGTCACGTTCCATGAAATGCTTGTCGTATTGGTTTGGGATCGGGGCCACATCTTGAGCAAATTCTAGTAAGTATTCCAGCCATTCTCTGTGTTTATCTAGACTCAGGAAGGAAAAGTGCAGGCAGCTGCTCCTGTAGGCAGGACAGAAGGAGGATTTAGGGTATTTGCCGACACATTTAGTCGCAGGGAACACAAGTACCCTCAGTCAGATTTTAAATCATAGGAAAAGGCTTTGTGTTGGGTGGGGCCTGAATACAGAAGAAACGAAGGACTTCTGTGGGACCCGGAGGGCTTCTACAATGGCCGCAAGAGCCCCTCATCCATTTCCTGTCCCTTGCTGGGTGTCACTCACATCACTCTCAGTGTCTGGCTTCAGGAAAAGGCACAAGAGCTAGAGAAGAGAGTTTCCTGAAAGGGCTCAGGGAAGACTGAGTTCAAGCTCTTCTGTTCAGAACCAACAGTCAAGGGAAAGAAAGGTCCCCACATGATGGCTTAGAGGTCTGGGTTGGAAAGGTCAGAGCCAACATCATGCTGCACGGATAAAGCCCCTCCATCTCCCTCCTTACCCAAGTGTGCAGGCTCTCCCCCCTCCTACTTCCACAGCCCCTGCCCTCTCTCATGTGCACACAGGAGCTCACCCAGTAAACGTGTAGACCTCCAAAGCGAATTTCTGCAGCAGGCTGGTCTTGGTGGAATTTGACAGGATGAGGACCACGTTCATGTGGCCTGGCCTCAGGCGTACCAAGTTACTGGTGTACGTTACATCTGTGAGCTCGGTCACCTCCACAAAGCCTTTTTTAGGAATCTTGCTGTGGAGAAAAACTGAGGAATTAAGATCTTGTAGGATAAGGGAATGCCACAACTTTTAAAAGGAACAAGTGGAAGAAAATGATATGTTCTAAGCAGACTAGATATGTTATTTACTAGTCTCGAGCCTGATGCATGGGCAGGGCATGGATAACCATCTGGTTATCCCGGGACCGTAAAGAGCCTCGCTGGTGCTGCCGTGCAGTTGGTGCAGAAGCGGCTTTAGGACAGGATGAAGGCCGTCAACACAGTTATGGTGACGCACCGTTCTCTGCTTCTGGCTCATCTAGCATCTCTCCCTGACATGCTTCTTTGCTTCCTTCCCGCCTTCATGATTAAATCTGGGACTGAGAAGCTCAGGGTACTGAGAAGAAGATACTAGTCCTGTGTCTGAACGCCTAGGCAGTCTCAGTCAGTGCTCGGCAGCTGCGACTCTTGCCTAAATCCACATCTCACACAAGGAGGGGAGCCAGGGCTCTTAGCTGTACTAGACCCTCGGACGCTGCTTATCAGACCCCGCGGCGTGCGGGGCTGCTGCTGAGGGCGAGGTGCTGGCGTTTGGTTAGGGCGACCTGCTGGGCTCCTTGGTGAAGCTTGGCTCTGTCCTCCCGGTCTTCTCGTGGGCTTCCTCTTTGTCTGGAGGGCTTGACTCTCGCTCCTCATTTGAGTCGCTGAAGTAAGAAAAAGGACTTTTCCAGAAGGTTTGTACGGTCTGGGGCTCACCCTTCAGACACGGCACTGAGCAGACACGGAGGCTCTTACCTGAAAGCCTGGATGATGACGGTGCCGAACAGGATGAAGAGGGCAGAGAAGACCAGGGACAGAAGGGGCATCATTTCCCGCCTACAATGGAGTTCACAAGCTCTGGTCAGCTCTATGTGGGCTGCTGTGACGTGCCAATGAATGGTTTTAGGTTTCTCCTCTCTGGCTCAATAAAACCCCTAGGGCTTCCCTGGTGGCGCAGTGCTTGGGAGTCCGCCTGCCGATGCGGGAGACGCGGGTTCGTGCCCCGTTTCGGGAAGATCCCACATGCCGCGGAGCGGCTGGGCCCGTGAGCCATGGCCGCTGGGCCTGCGCGTCCGGAGCCTGTGCTCCGCAAATGGGAGAGGCCACAACAGTGAGAGGCCCGCATAACGCAAGGAAAAAAAAAAACAAAACAAACAAACAAAAAAACCCCTAAACAACCCCAAACCAAAAAGCCTTCTCATCAACAAACACCTTTGTTTTTTTGGCTGCACTGTGCAGCTTGTGGGATCTTAGTTACCCTATCGGGGATCGAACCTGTAACCCCTGCGTCCGGAGTGCAGAGTCTTAAACACTGGACCGCCAGGGGAGTCTTGACACTTTCTAATCTCATACAAACAGAGGTTTTTTTGGGTGGTGGTGGTGGTGGTGGTGAAAGCAGAGATTTTTCCCTCACTGTTCTAATGCACAGATCACTTATTCAAAAAGTGTTTGTGTCTCAGGCTGTGCTGAATAAATTCTGCGGAAGGAAACAGTAAGACGAGTAACAAATGATTTAAGTTGTAAACATGGAGGAACATTCTAATGTCAAGGGTAGTATCAGGTGACTAAAAAGGTCTGTGGAATTATTTCCTTTATTTTGATTTTTTTTTTTTTTCTGGCCAGAATCATTCAGATGTGGCCCAGAGGGGAGGAGAAGGCAGGCAAAAGTTGACTCCTCAAGATCTCCACTAGGTGTTCTGAAAGTTTATTCACCCACAAACACCCATCAAAGGCCTGCTGTTTTTCAGGAGGTGGGTTGGGGGCCAGGAAGCACGAACATGAATGGGACATGGTCTGTCCTCAGGAGCTCACGGTCTCATTGGGGTGGGAGTGGTATAGCCCTCCCTTCTCCGATTAATTCACTGATTCATTTGTGCATATATTCACTGGACTCCATGTGTGTCAGGCCCTGTGCTAGACACCAGAGGTGCTCTGATAAAGAGGATGGTCCCAGGCTCTGCTAGCTGGAGGGGCAGCCAGGGGTGATCCTTTCTTTTCCCACCAGTGGGAAAGGGTCAATCAGCAAATATAAAAAAAGGGAAGTCACTGAAAGAAAGAAAAAGGGGAACAGTTGTTGAAAATATGTAAACACTCTTCCACCTGCCTATGGAGTCCACACTGAAATCAAAGAAGAGTGGACTCTTCTCAAAAGAAAAACAGTGGTCCTGGTAGTTAACAGAGAGAAAGAAATTCAAACTTGGCAATACTCCTACCAGTTGCTGTGAAATATGCTGTCCCAAGAGTCTGAGATGTAGTCAGAAGCAGAATAGAGCCACCGAAGGAGAAAAATCTGTTGAGGGAGAAAATGGGTGACGGTCAGGCCTGGACCCCTGAGTCCCAGAGGGAGAAGTCCCCTGCCTCCAACATGGCACTGTTGCTCTGAGGGCTCAGGAGCCCTGCCCGGTGCCTGCTCTCCTGGGCTACGTGCTTACAGGGGCAAGTTCATCGGTCAAGTCGGGGAGCACAGCTTCCGAGGACAGAAGAGCTGGGTCTTTCCGCAGTTGGTCAAGATAACCCAAAAGGATGAATTTATCGCTCTCACTCCCGGTCCAGGGATCCTCCAGGGTTTTATACACCACCCTCCCTGCTGTGTTGCGCCTTTCTAAGATAGACACCTGGGAGAAAAAGAGAGGAAAAACCATGAGAATTCTCAAAAGAATGTGAAGTTACTGTTGCTTGGGTTCTTTTCAGGGAGGATGGAAAAAACGGGTCTAGCAAAGCTCAAACACAGGTATGGATGAGTATACAATATCTGCAAGAGATTTACATTTTTCTAACAAAAGAAATTAGTTTTGTGGTGACTTTCCAGAGCTTTTGCTAAAGTTAAAGCTCCTTCTTCTCAATAGACTTTGTTCTATAACTTCTGACTTAATGTCATAAAGAAGGAAACCTTTGTTTTTTCGAGAGATTTTTCCATAATTACCAAGATGATGAAAAGGACAGAGAAGAATTTCATGCTTCTGCAGAGAGTGATGATGAAGGAGGGGAAAGTAAGGTGAAATCAATTAGGATGAAGTAAAAGAGGCAGAAGCACAGAAGGGAGACATTTGGAAAGCCTATTACTGGTAGCCTAAGCAAGATTCTACAAACTAGGTACTGTAAGACTAGACCTGCCAAGGGGAAAGACTGGTGAAAAGGGCTGATGCTCTTTAATCTTTACCCAGAGGGAAGATGCTTTCTGTGAAGGTCCAAGGCTGAAAATCTAGGAGGTGAAATCAGCATGGTAAAAGACTAGTTTAGGAGTGCTTTCAAAACAGGCTTCGGACAGCACAGCGAACTATACTCAATATCCTGTGATAAACCATAATGGAAGAGAATATAAAAAAGAATGTATATATAACTGAATCAATCTGCTGTACAGCAGAAATTAACACAACATTGTAAATCAACTATACTTGAATTAAAAAAAAAAAAGTCAAATGGCTTCCAAGCACTCGGAAAACATAAGGCAAAACAAAACAGAACAAACAGGCTTCAGAGATTCCTGGACTTCCTGGAATCTAAACTGAAAACTCCTGAGGAAGGAGGACACAGAATTAAGTGTCACGTGCTTGTGAAGAGCTCGAGACCAGAACAGCATCCACGACTCACCGCTGATTTTCCTTGAAATGTGTCGCTGTCTGGCAGTAAGGTGTTGGCAAACTCCTGCTGCCGATTGCTGTAGACGTGCACGAACCTCACTGTGTCCTGTGTGTTTGCCAGAGCAAAGGACAGGAAAGCCTCGAAGGGTTTACTCAACTTGGTAGCCTCAGTGGTCAGTAAAACCACACAGTACCTGCATGTCAACAAAAGAGAAGACTTTAATCCCCTGAGGCCACGGCTAGAACCTGAATGGCAGGTGAAGGTGAAAGAGAGGAGACGCTCATTTACAAAGTGAACGAGCATGTTTTAGGAATGAAAGCTTCATGGGGGAGCCTCTAATGAGAGAAAATGCCCAAGGCATTAAGGACCTGCTTCTTTCTAGACTGGTGATGCTCTTCCCAAACCAAACTTCACGACATCTAGAGATGCCTTTGAAGGCAATGGTCACTGAACCCTTGATGCAGAAGGGCCTTGCAGAAGGCACCTGTTCTAGTTCTCCCACCGCAGGCAGTGCTGGTTGAGTCTGAGGCCAGGGCCACTGGGCCTCATTCTGAAGGGCTTCCTTTTAGTGGTGCCAAGGGAAAGTTCACCTAATCATTCATTCATGCATTCATTCTCTCAAATACTACTGAGCACTCAATAGATGCCAGGTAAGACAGACAATGTTCTTGCCCTCGTGGAGCTGATATTTGCGTGTGGAAGGCAGATAACAAATACATAGATGGACAGATCATGACAAGTAGTGACAAGGGTTATGAAAAAAAAAAAGAAGTGAAGGGGAGAGAGTCAAGGGTGGGCTGGGAGTCACGACCCATCAGACTGGCTGAGCAGAGGTGTGAAGGAGGTGCCATAAGAGGAAGTGGGGTCTGAGCACTCCAGGGAGAGAGCACCACAAGTGCAAAGACCCTGGGACTGGGGGACTCGAGCCAATTCAGTGTTAGGAGGATCGCTGGCTGACATGAACTGACTGAGGGTGGGAGAGTGGAGCGGAGACAGAGGAGGTTAGGAGGCTAACACGGTGGCCTCGACGAGAGGTAACAGTGACCTGGCGAGGGTGGCGGTGCTAACGAAGGGGAGCAGTGCGTGGACTGGGGATACTTACTGAAGGCGGTATAAATAACAATCCTTAAAGCCCAGGATCACCTGCCTTACGTTTAATTAAAGTCTTTCTTCTCTTAGTCTATAAAGGAAACTGAAAAGTCTGGAAACACAGGGAATTTTTCCTATTTTAAACAATATTTTAGCTGTATTTTCACATAACGTGATCAAAATGTTTTCCTTTCATATCCAGACAGCTTTCACTCATATCCAGACAGCTTTCACAGATGAAACAGCCCTAAATTTAAAGGCACTGATTCATTAATCTGAAAGAGGTATAATTAGTATTTTCCCTGTATTTCCAAACTTTAGACACTCTGTATGAATAAGTATGCCTCAGCCTTACTATTCCCATTTAATTATTTTACCATTTCCTCAGTACCCTCACTTCTCTACTGTTTAGTCATTAACCTGGCTCCTCTCCAAGACCTTCTCCAAGACCCCCAGAGGCTCACCCTGTGTGGAATACTCCGGTAGGAACAGTAACTCTCTCCTACTCCATGCTGCTCTACAGTGACCCAGGCTCTCCTTGACACCCGGCAAAATCTACTCATCCTTCAGGGCTCAGCTAAAGTGTTACCTCTTAGGGGGATCTTCTCTGGCACACCCAATAATTTGGTCCTAAGGTGCCCTGGACTGTTATACCCCTCACTGTCATAGTTGTTCCTCAATATTTGTTACATGAAGAATAAATTCTGATTGTCTCAGGGTCGACGTTTAATTGCCTTGTAGTAAAATGCAACATGCCCCTCTGCTGCACTGATGAACAGGGGCAAAGCCTTCAGTCCTTACTTCCTCTGTCGGTGAGACCGTTTCACGGGGCAGAGTTCATGGAACAACTTCTGGCTGGTGAGCCTGGCTGCCAACAGATACTTGTTTTGGGTGATAAAGTCATCAATGACCTGTTTCTTCATACCTCGGGCCTAGAGAAAAACCAAGAGACAGTGGATTCTGATTCAGTTTTCTCACTGAAAATGGGCTTTACTTACAGCTTAATAAACATGTAGCTGAGGGACTTCCCTGGCGGTCCAGTGGTTAAGAGTCCGTGTTCCCAGTGCGGGGGGCACAGGTTCGATCTCTGGTCAGGGAACTGAGATCCCGCATGCCGTGCAGCGTGGCCAAAAAAAAACCCCCCAAAAAAAGAATTGCCTGATCCTGGCTAAAGTAATAAAACCATGTACGTCAGACTCATTTGAGCAGATAAACATGTGGTCATCTTTTTAAAAAATGCAGGGCTGGGACTTCCCTGGTGGCGCAGTGGTTAAGAATCCGTCTGCCAATGCAGGGAACCAGGTTCTAGCCCTGGTCCGGGAAGATCCCACATGCCGCAGAGCAACTAAGCCCGTGCGCCACAACTACTGAGCCTGCGCTCTAGAGCCCATGAGCCACAACTACTGAGCCTGTGTGCCACAACTACTGAAGCCCATGCGCTTAGAGCCCATGCTCTGCAACAAGAGAAGCCACTGCAATGAGAAGCCTGCGCACCGCAACGAAGAGTAGCCCCCTCTCGCCACAACTACAGAAAGCCTGCAGGCGGCAACAAAGATCCAACGCAGACAAAAAAAAAAAAAGAAAAAAGAAAGCAGGGCTGAGAGCAATGACATAGCTATTTCAGGTCAAAGGAAAAATCAAGTGCTCTTTTCACTGGACAACTTTTATATACTGTTTTACGCTAGCAGATTTAAAAGGTCAATAATTTGGAATTTTTAGGCAAATTTACTTCAAGATTTATAGGAAACTGAACAATTGAAAATAAACTCCCTGGGACTTCCTGGCAGTCTGATGGTTAAGACTCTGTGCTTCCACTGCAGGGGGCACGGGTTCAATCCCTGGGGAACCAAGGTCTCGCATGCCTCGCTGCGTGGGGCCAAAAAAACAAAAAGAAACAAACAAAAAACCCCACAAAACTCCAAAGTAACAATGTTACTGAGTATAAAAGGCGGACAACAAAACTGTAATATGACCACTTTGTTATTACTAACTTTCATATATTTCAAAGGACTGAAATTATATATATAGTAGCTTCTCTGACCACAATTAAACAAGAAATCAATATAAGATAGAAACCAGAAAATCCCTTTTTGTTTAGAAATTAAACTCTGAATAACTTATTGACCTAAGAAGAAAGCATATCAGATATAAGAAAATATTTTGAATTTGAAATGATTAATGAAAATACTGTTTATCAAAACTTTGGGACTCAGATAAAGTATCAGTAGTACTTGGAGAGTAATGTTAAAATGAATATAATAGAAAAGAAATTAATGAACTAGACATCCATATCAAGAAGTTACAGCAAAAATACAACCGTAGTGGGCTTCCCTGGTGGCGCAGTGGTTGAGAGTCCGCCTGCCGGTGCAGGGGACACAGGTTCGTGCCCCGGTCCGGGAAGATCCCACATGCCGCAGAGCGGCTGGGTCCGTGAGCCATGGCCGCTGGGGCTGCCCGTCCGGAGCCTGTGCTCTGCAACGGGAGGGAGGGGCCACGGCAGTGGGAGGCCCGCATACCGCAAAAAAAAACCAAACAAACAAACAAAAAAAACAAACCGTAGAAAAAAGGAAATAGTAAAGATGAATATAGAAATCAATAAAACAAAATAAATATATAAGAAGAAGAATTAACAAAAACAAAATTGGTTCTTTGGAAGAGCTAATAAAATTGACAAACCTCTGGTAAAACCAATCATGAAAATAAGAGAGAAGGCACAAATAACCATTATCAAGGATGACGAGGAACTTCTCTGGTGGTCCAGTGGCTAAGGCTCTGCGCTCCCAATGCAGGGGGACCCAGTTTGATCCCTGGTCAGGGAACTAGATCCCACATGCCACAACTAAGGGCTCGCATGCCGCTACTAAAGATCCTGCATGACACAATGAAGATCCTGCACGTGGCAACGAAGATCCCAAGTGCTGCAACTAAGACCCGGCGCAGCCAAATAAATAAATATTAAAAAAAGAAAAAAGGGACCTCCTTGCTGGCGCAGTGGATAAGACTCCATGCTCCCAATGAGGGTTCGATCCCTGGTCAGGGAACTAGATCCCACATGTGTGCTGAAACTAAGAGTTTGCATGCCACAACTAAGGAGACTGAGTGCTGCAACTAAGGAGCTGGGGAGCCACAACTAAGGAGCTCTGGAGCTGCAACTAAGGAGCCTGCTGCAACTAAGACCTGGAGCAACCAAAAAAATAAATATTGAAAAAAAAAAAAAGGATGACGAGTTTCTATGTTGTAGAAACTAAAAATATATACATATACATATATATATACACATATACATTTAAATTTGAAAATTTAGATGAAACAGAAAAATTTCTAGAAAAATAAAACAACATCTGAAAAAGAGAAGAGTTAAATAGTTCTATAACCATTAAAGAAGATGAGTCAGTAATCAAAAATCTCTCCTTAAACACAAACTCAGGCTGAGATGGCTTTACATAGGTGGTTTTGACCAAATTTTCAAGGAGGACAATCTAATCTTATACAAAGTCTTCCCGAGAAGAGAAAAAGGGAGAACACACCCCATCTCATTTCATGATTCAAATCCTCACATGGGCATCTTGAGAAAGAGAAGTTAGAAGTCAATCTCATTTCTGAACATAAATGTGAAAATCCTAAACAAAATGTTAGCAAACTGAATACAGCAATATACTGAAAGCAAAATATAAATAATGATCCTGTTGGATTTATCTCATGAATGCAAGTTAGGTTTAACACTAGAAAATGATTAATATGATTTAGCACATTACAGAACATGAAAGAAGAAAACTCTGGATAATCATATGGATGTGTAAAAAGTATTTGATAAAAATCAACACCATTCATATCAGAAAAATTAAATTGGTCTAGTGTTGGCAAGGATATGGAGCAATGGACCATTCACACATGACTGGTGGAAATGTACTTAGGAAAACACATTAGCTAGTAAAGTTAAAGATATATATATATATTTAATCATTAAAAAAAATAAAGCCATATATGTTAACATAAATAACTTTTTTTAAACATAAAAAAAAAACCACAATAATTTCCAAAACCAAAAAATGTTTAGTGAGAGAAGATTAACACTGCTTTACATTTTTACAGATCTTTTTAATGTCTGGTTTCATAGAAGAGATAGGTGGATTCTCATATCTGCTTCTATATACAATCAGGGGTCATATATTGTTTTGGTTGAAAATCCAGCCTCACACAGATATATGGTTAGAAAAGGGAGGTTTATTTTAATAGCTTTTCAGATAACTATGGATATTCTTCTTTGCCACTACACAGAAACTGGACAAATGGTAGTTTCTTAAAGGTTAGTTGCTATGTGGATTCAATGAACTGTTTTTTTTTTTGGCTGTGCTGCATGGGGGATCTTAGTTCCCCAACCAGGGATTGAACCTGTGCCCCTGCAGTGGAAGTGCAGAGTCCTAACCACTGTACCGCAGGGGAATTCCCATCAATGAACTTTTAGTACTCTGTTAAATTAAAATTCACTGATCAAAAATAAAGAAGGTAAAATTCACTGATCGCCTTGCACTTAGAATGGATCTTTTACTCATGCACAGTCATTCGAAAAATACTGGTTCACTGATCTCCCAGACGCTGACAAATTTTCTTATTCATATGAAAAAATGCATCACATCGATGAACCAATCTCATAAGAAAGTTTGAGAAGCGATCAAGGTCATGATGGCTGATACAAATTTTTCAAAATTATAATTTCCTTGGAAGCCTGGATTCTATCGTCAGCAACAGATGCTGTGAGTTGTTTCCCTTAAAGTGCCAGGCTCACTTCATTCATTTTAAAGAAAATGTCTGCCTAACTCTGAGTAACCATTGTTGTCCGTCAATTATTCTTTCAAGTAAAAAATGATGTTCCATCAAAAAAAAAAAAAAAAAAAAAAAAAAAAAAGAAAGAAAAGTGGCTAGTACAAAACTCCTGAGTTAGGCAACCACACAAATATTTGTCCCCAGGACACCCTCTCAACCTGGCCTGCAGCCGAGCTTTCTGCACACTTCCTATTTTGTCACAGAGAACATTAAAGATACCAGAAAGACGTGGACTTGAGTGTCAATTTACCTATTAATAAAATTCACACTTCTTACTGCTTCATCAAGGCTATTCAGTGAAATGGGAGTTGATCCTCTGTGTTGTTACGGCGAGTGCTTAGGCGTGAAGAGCACACGGCCACCGGCAGCCTGGTGCCCGGGCCTTGGTGTGTGCACTTGGTGGTTATGCACTGGAAAGTTTACCCACCATTGCTTTTGCACCATCGGTGCAAGCGTCAACACAGAGAAAAGACAAATTATGTCTTAGTGGTTCCTGTGAAGACAGCTTTGATCTCACAGACTCTTAAAGGGTCTTTTGGAGCCCCCCCCCCCCCCGCCCCCAGGGGTCTGTGAACCACATTTTTAAAACTGCCGTCCTGTAGAAACTTGTGATTGGGAACACCGGGATACATGTGATGTCCACGGCATCACTGGTCCTAAAGCCCCGAAATGTCCATCAACAGAAGAATGAATAAACCCATTATCACGTGGCCATAACCACTGTACAGCAGATGAAAACAAATTAACTAGAGCTAAGAGAAACCACTAGTGCTACTAGTGTTATACGAAGCCCCTTGCCATTGGGAGGACTCAGTTTATGTTAAGAATGCAGTTTTATATTCATAAAGAGCAAATTGGTAAAGCATCCATTGTACCAGTAATTTTGTTAATGTATCTGATTAACGATTTTCCCCAGGGAATAAATAAATAACAATTCCCAAGAGTACAAGCTATCACTAAAAAGCAATTTAGGAAATCTTACAGATTAATCTTGGATTGAGATGACCTTCTCACCTCTCTTCCACAACTGGCATTTGTTTGCTTCCTGACCCTCTCTTGGCTCCTTCTTAGTCGCCATCAGGCATCCCCTCTTCCTTTTTTTTTTTTTTTTGCGGTACGCGGGCCTCTCAC